TTAGTACAACATTAAAAGAAATGTTAAAATTATGTGCTGATTCATTAGATAAAATGGGTGTAACAAGAATTCCTCGACCTATTGTTCATTTTATTTTAAATCAAAAAGCAGATTTAAATATTGATAATAATAAAGCAGCTATTGAAAAAATAATAAATGATTTAAAACGAGAAGGTTTAGATAAATCAATTGATATTCGAAAAGAAACATTTCATACACTTCCATCAGCATTTAAAAAAGAAGGACAAACATTAATATCGAAAAAAACATCATTGACTCAAATAAAAACAACACCAGATTTTATTGAAAGTGTTCAATTATTATTTGGAAGAATTTTTAATTCAGTTCAATTAACAAATATATCTGATCCTCTTCAATGGTTATCATCATCAATAACAATATTTGAAACATTACAAAAATTTTCTGATTTAACTTATTATCGAAATATTCATGAACAACGTTTAGATAATCAAATACGTGGACATATTCGAGAAATTTTATTGAAAATCTTTTCTATTGATTATCGTAATGAATTAATTCTGCAAACAACAAATAAGACTAAAGATGAAATTCAAAAATTCTTTCTTGATAAACAAAATCAAATTGAAGAACAAACTCAAAATGATCTCGAAAATTTATTTAAATTATTAAAAGTATCTGAATTACTTCGTAAACGAAATCAACAATTTCTTCATGTACAAATTATTGAAATGTTTAATATTTTACAAATATTAAATATTGAAAGCAATCGACGACAACAAGTTAATACAACTATTCATCATGCTGAAGAACAACTTCGACAATTAATTGAACATGTCATTCGAAATGGAAGACTTATGTTATATGAAACTGCTGAACAAGAATTTGAACGGATGTATCAAAATACAATTGGATTTCTTCGAGATGAATTCAATCCAAACGAATGTCTTAAACAAGCAATAAAAGATATTTATATAAATTATAACATCTATGAAAAAGAATGTTTACTCGAATTTTCTTCAATTGATATTCATTCTTCATTATTAGCTGATCAAACATCAATTGATAATCTAGAAGAAATTTTCGTTTCATATTTTACTAATTTAGCTTATAAAACAGCTTCCGTTACTGTACATCATTTTAATCCAACAGGAACACCAGTTTATTCTCTTGATATTATCAATAGTCTCAACTATTTAAATCAAAACTTATTAGAACGAGAATTTCGAACTTTTGTCAATCAAACAAGTTCTCAAATAATAAATAATAATAGATGGCAAGATACTGATCAGGAAAGATCAATGTATCAAACATCAAATTCTTCGTCATACCATCAGCCAAATGAACATTCAAATCTAACCTCCACTGATCAGTTTCAAATACAAGTCAGACAAGCTATTGAAAATCAAAAACTAATAATGTTAGGAAGATCATCTACAGATGAACGAAATATGTATTTAAGACTTTCAGAAATCATTCGAGAAGTAATTCGACGAATCAGACAAACAATGCAAGGGATAAATGATGGTCAAGTACGACAAATTCGAATTGAATTAATACAAAAAATAGTTGGATTAATTAATTCATTAATTATTGAAATTAAAACAGAATTAGATCCATTTTGTTTAGAATCATCTCATCAATTAAAATCAATATTACATATTTGTGCTGTTATTTTATTAACAAAATATTATTATCATGAACAAATCAATCATTTCAATCAAATTCTAGCTGATTTTGAACGAAAAAAATCAGATTTAAAAGAATATTTTCTTGCTAATGCTTGTTCTAATAGCTCAAGAGACAAAAATTATGCCATTAATCTTGCACAACAATTTAAAGATTATCTAATTCAATCATTATCAAACGATGGACAGCGGATCATTACTGGAGATTCTAAATAATATGAATGTCTCAATCGAAAATGGACTCAAGATCGTATTGATGGTCAATTAGAAGTGAATAATGATATGACATGGTATTTCGATTATATATCTAATCCAACAAAAATTATTGAACAATTTTTCATTCAATTATGGATTAATGTAAAAAAAGAAATTGATCAAAATTTATTAGAACGAAAAGCATTTTGTATAAAAATAATCACAGAATTTTTCTATTGTATTCAAGGTAATATTATTTTGATAGAGAATAGGAGATATATATCATTTTTCTTTTCAATAGGTATGTTGGATAGTGTACGTCATTTAGATCCACCGAACAAATTGATTGATGAGATATTTCAATCTGATGCAAGCAACGCATTGAACATAAATGATGAACTTAACGATAAAAATCAATGTATGGTTAGGGTAATATATCAATATATGGCTGAACAAAGAATTCCATTATCATTAACAGTAAATAGGACAACTTATCATATTAGAGAAGATGCTTTTAAGGCATTTCAATCATTAATTCAACAACGAAGACCAAGTAATGAATTAGCAAAAATAATCAAAAAAATTTCTTCGGTTTTTGAGAATATTCCTATTAGTAATTTAATAGCATTTCTCGAAGCTCTATTAACTGAAAGAGAAAAAATTCTTCGTGATTTTAATCAAATTCCATGTAATTTTGATCATATCGATCAACATGATACCTATGCACGATTATTAGATAAAGTTCGTGGATGTCCAGATCTTTGTCCATGTTGTCGACGACCTTGTGATGTTGATCATACACAAATTAAATCTAATCCTGGTTCATTATATAATGAACATCGTTGTCAATCTGGCCATAATTTACGTGCAATGAATGGTTATAAATTTGAAACAACTAATGAACCATCATTATTAATGTGTGAACAAATTAAAGATGATCAAATTTTAATTATTGGTCCAAGACGTTATCAATGGTTAGATTTTAAACGATATCATTCTGATTGGATATTTGAATCAACATTAAATGATCATGAATTAAATCGTTTACATGGAAATTTTTAACTATTTGGAGAAAAATTGGAAAAGAATTGTGTGAGAAATATCATATGAAATATGTTAAATATAATACAACATTAAATATTGTTCATGAATCATTTCATTATATTCTTTTACTCGATGGATCAGGATCAATGAGTGGACAAAGATGGAAAGATTTAATGAATGCTGTACAAGAATTTTTAAAACGTCGTTCAGAATTAAATACATATGATCGTATTTCAATTATTGTCTTTTCTAGCACTGCTAATATTATCTATTCAAATGAAGATATTCAAAATATTAATGTTAATAATATTTCTTATCCAGGTGGTGATACATCGTTTCATGATGCATTTGAATGTGTTGATAGATGTATAAAATATTCAAAAAGACAAGCAGTTGTCAATTCTGTTCATAATAAATTTGCCATTGTTTTTATGAGTGATGGTGAAGGTATATATCCAGATTATCAATTGAAACATTTATTAAAAGAACATGACTCAGTAATCAAACGATTTTGGACTCTAGCATTGGGTATCAATCAATCTTCTTCATCAATGAATGTTTTAGAAAAAATTAATGCAAAAATGAATGGTTCATTTATTGATATTGCAACATCGGTAGATTTGATTAAAGCTTATGCGGAAGTCGCAAATTTCAGTCAATAGTCTCATAATGAACCTATATTCATCTAGAACTTTTGTTGTGGTTTTATAAAACTTCAATAGAAATCTCTTCTTTGTGAAATCTAATCACTTCATATTACCATTTATCTATTTGATTAATACAGAATAAATCATTTAAACTGTGTCAAGAATTTTGTCATTATCACTCTCTTTTTTCTTATATTCAGATCTTTTAAGCAATCATTTCATTCATATTCATCCTCAATTTAACGAAGATTGCACTAACATTGATAAATATAGGAAACACTATTGCAGAAAATAACTAGATTCAATCAATTCAATGATTGTTATTGACCTCTGATCGTACAGTATAGGTCAACTATGTAGTTTGCTTTTTCTTTGTACTACCAAATACATCTGTTATAAAAATTTTTGTTCATTATCATGCATATTCATTCTCAATATAAAAGCTTTCGTTGTGAAAAATTCGAGAATTTAGTTTCATATCATCCCGCTCTATTTTTAATCTTTAGTCTTGATATATAAGTATCGATAGCAATATGATACTGATACTTTCCAAAATTATATTTTTGTATTTTTTGATTTCGAAATACTGAGGGTATATCAAAAGTTCAAAGAATTGCTGATAAAAATCTATATAAAAGAGATAATCAAGTTTCTGTTTCAGCATTTATTGAGATTAGAAGCCCTATTTATCTGTACACAATCAATTTATTTCAAGACATAATGAAAATTTTTTTCGAATAATCTTTGATTAAAAGCAAAATCATCATTTTGGTCACAGCGCACAATACACAACGACTAGAAACTATTTTGGATCAATCAAAATTTCTTGTATATAGTGAATACATAAAATGGTAATGGATGATAAGCTCCAGATACATCACACTTAAATATACTCAAATTCTTCAGCTAAAAGGATTGCAAGTGAAAAATCTTCATCAGCTTCAGTTTGACGCTATAAGATATGCCTCAAAACGACGCTTTCTGTAACTTTTTAATACAAATAACCAAAGACGTTTAAGAAAGAGACTGATATGGAAATAAAGCAGCCTTCCAATCACTGGTAATTCCCTACAACTACTTGTCAATGAAAGAGAAAGCAAAGATTATCAGTTAATACTCAAATATAGAAAAGATGAATGACTAAGGATCAATAACTAAATTTGTTAGCGGCAACATATTGTTATCTATTGATATTAACATAAAAAAATTGATCGATACGATGATTTTCTTAGATAAAAATCGATGGAAAAATGTGGTCTATATGAAATAATTTTACAATTTTCAAGGGATCAATGATTCTTAAGACTAAAAATTTATTTAATTCATTTCTCTATTTCGAAACATTCTCCTATGTAGGTTGAGGTTTTTTTCGTGTTTCTATTAAATTCGTCAATCGTCGATTATATTCAGTATTATCAAAACATGCCATTTCCCACATATTGATCACATCTTTTTCCATTGAATCCACTCGTTGATTTATTTTCTTCATTTTTCCAAAACCATGTTTACCTTTTTTACAACCATTAAATCCTCCACCAATTTGTACTGTTCCATGACAACAAATATATTTAAATCGTCCTTTTTGTCGATCCATTTCATCTTTTCGTTTTGGTTCATTAAAAGCGATATATTCTTCTCGATTTAAAATTTCAATAACTTCACTTGTTTTATGTTTAATTAAATCTAATGTTAAATTATCATAAACAAATCCATCATGATAATTACATGCACCCATTTTATTTTCAATTTCAATATAATGATCTTTACATTTTGCACATAGAAGAATATCTGTAGCTCGTCGTTGTTCTTCTTTTTCTTCGTTCAATTGTTCATCAGTTAACGTAAAATCAACATCAGCTGTAAATTTTTTTAATAAAAATGGATCACGTATAACTGCTATAGCCCATCGTTCGATAGTTAATTTTTGATCCGTTCGAGGTGCTTCAACTTTAGCTTCACGAAATCGACTTGTAACATAAATATAAATACTTTGGTTAACTACAGATGAACTTACTGATGTACCCATTGATGATTCTGATTCAGATTTATTTACACCAATTAATGAATCAAGATCATAAATAATCATTGAACGTTTATATTCCATACATTCATCATAACGTTCTTTTAATGTTTCAAAAATTTTTTTTTCTTCATGAGCACCTTTTGATGAGAGTAAATTTAAATCAATTAATTGTAATAATTGTACATTACGATCATTTCCATATGATGTTATACGTTCAAGTAATTGTTGAAGACTTTGTTCAGTTTCAATTAATTTATCTTCAATTACATGTCGTTTATTATTTGTTTGTATCATTTCCATTCGAACACATCTATCTTGAAAACTAATTATTATTTTTCCTGTAAATCGATATTGATCTGTTAAATGAAATCGTGCAGAAGGAGTGACAGAAATGTTGTTTCCCGGTGATACTTGTTCTCCAACAGTCTTTGTTTCCAGAATAGTTGAGAATGTGGGTCTTGGGGGTAAACATGGCTGAGTAGTAACTATAGTGGGATTTACAGAAGGATTCTGTTGATTTTCAGTATTCATCTTTGATAATTGTCGTTGGTCATCAAGATTTTGTAAAAGTAATCGTGGTAGTGTATCAAGACCAAGATATAATTGATATTGACGAGCTGTTCGATCTGCTAAAATTAAAGTTTCTTCTTCTGTCATTTCATAATTTTCTTCTCTACGTTTTTCAGCAATATAATGAACAGTAATTGCACTTGTTAATGATCTAAATTATCGGATACGAAAGAAATATTTTAATTTTTTTTTTAGTAATCATAATTTACTTCAATGCAGCACCACTGAAATTTGTTGTAGCTGTAGCTAATTTTTTTATAATATGTGGTTGTAAAATTGTTTTTGGTATACCATCTAAGATTCGTTTTCGTGCATCAGCCGAAGGTCGACCAACAAAAAATTTGCCTGACATTCGTCTTAAAAATGCTTCATCCATCATATGTAATCGATTTGTAGCTGAGAAAAACATTAAATTTGATACATCTTTAATTCCTTCAATAACTGAAAGAAGAACACTAATTTTTGCAACTTTTCCTTCTGATGAATCTTCATCACGTTTTGGTGCCAATGAATCAATTTCATCAATAGATACACAACACATTAAATGTGGTAAACGATTACCACGCATACAAAGATCTAAAATAATTGCTTCCGATTGACCAACTAATGGACGTTCAAGTTCGCCAGCCGCTAATGGAGGTCCAAGCATAGCAATACCAATTTTCTTTGCTAATTTACTCATAATTACTGATTTGCCAGTACCTATTTATAATCAATCGATTTGCTAGAAGAACAATCCAGGTCGAAGAATCCGATCGGCTGAGTTGTGGACCTACTAACGGATCTGACGAGAAAATACTTTTTTCTTATTTGAGTACGAATTGGTGTTTTATCGCCATAGTAGAGATGGTTAGATCATATGACGGCATTTAATCGGAGTCCAATTGTCGGAATGATTCTCCTGGGAAGTTCTGTTACTATTGAAGAAGGATATTCTACTTTTCGGCTAGCTTGCAATGTAAGGTGCTGTTCGGGAACACTTTCGAAAGTCTGATATATTTTTTCTACAACTATTATTAGTTGTAGCTCTGGGCAGAAGGCCGGCCTGGCTCAGTGTTCTTCCGGTATGCTCTGACTAATCACAAAGGCTTTTTGTGTATGTCAATCACACAGTCAGTATGCTATCGAACGGGTGATCCGAGATAAACAGCTGCTAGTGACTTGTCCAGAGTCACTCTATGTCTGATAACATCGAGGTTCGAACAACTCAACCATTCACGAGGGAAGGCTTAGAACTGATTAATCAAGTTTTAAATTTCAGTTATGTCAATTTGTAGAGCTTGTTGAGTTATTAACTGATATAATAAACGTTCGGGCCAACAGTGCGTTTAAGAGTGAATTTCTCATAATGGAAGTTTGCATTAGCCTATGCATACCATATTAGGTCAAAGATCAAAGGGGGTGGGGTGGTTGTCCTTCGACCTGATATGCATAGGCTAATACAAATTTTCATTATGAGAAATTTACTTTTAAACGCGCTGTTGGTCTGAATGATTATCACATCAGTTAATAACTCAATAAGCTCTACAAATTGGCATAACTAAAATTTAAAACCTGATTGATCAGTTCCAAGCCTTCCCTTGTTTAATATAAAATTTTAGCTAAACTATGTTATGATTAAAGAATTTTGTTTGGATTATTATTACCCGGTGGTCCGTACATAATGAAACCTCGATGTGGTTTGACCAATCTTCGATCAATGATCATGTAATCGGCAGAAAGATTTTTCTGAATAATTTTTAATAAATCTTCATTATGTTTACGATCTTTTTCAATAGCTTGTAATTCTTTTTCATATTCTGGGCGTATCTCTTTCTTTGAATTGATTTCTTCATCCCATTGTTGATCGCTTACTTCCCAAATGTTATTCAACTCAAATTGTTTGCTAATTGATTCATTTTCTTCTTTATTTAATTCAGCTTGATATTGTAAAAACTTAGTAGCACGTTTCATTATTATTTGTTCAATTTCATTTGATAATTTATTTATTTGTTCATCTTTTTCAGTAGAACGTTTTTTTAATTTTTCAATTTCTGCTTTCAATTTTTTTTCTGCTGCCACTTGTTCTTTATATAATGTTGATAAAGTATTTTTATTAATAATTAGTTCTTTTTCAGTAACAGTTAATGGTTGAAAAAATAATTTCATTTCATCAAATAATCCATCATCTTCATAACCTTCTTCACGCATTTCTTGAAATGCTGTATCAACACAATAAGCATCCAATCTTGGAATTATTTCAATACCATCTTTATCTTCTAATTGTCGATTAAAATATAATTTAATCATATGTAAATTTGCACGTATTTCTGCTTTTGAGTATGATTTATTGTCAACTAAAAATAAGAATTTTTCGGTTTTGTTTTGTTAAAATATTCAATAGAAATTTAATTTACTTGTCTTTTCTTCTGAATTTTTTTTTGTTTTACGTTCTTCAACCATTTGTTTTTCTTGATTAACATAAAATTTAATTGTTTTCAATGCATTCATTGGTAATCGACCGATTCGATCCCATTCTTTTTGATTTAAATTTGTTAAATGAGCATACGTAGCAATATTTTCTTCCGTAGTCAATGCTTTATACCATATATTAAACATTCCATTTGCTTCAATTCTACAAATATCACGAATAAAATTTTCTAATGATTTGGTACTTGGTCGTTCTGATTGTTTTCCTGATGGATCATCATCAGCACTAGTCAATGGAGTAACAATAATATAATCAATATACGCATCTGGATTTAATGTCCATGGACTTGGAAAGTTTGTTTTACTATTTGAATCTATAGCTAACCAAAAATCAAGTAAACCATGAAAATGGTCAAATGTCCAAGATTCAAATTCATCTGTAAGACTAATTGGTTCTACAAGACGATATTTTGTTTGTGAATTTATAAATGTTACTGTTCCACGATCGAGCATTTGTTGTCGAATAAATAAACCAAGCAATGAACCTTGAGATAATGGATGAATTGTACCATCACAAATTGGTTGAACAATATTTGAATCAGATGATGTACTATATTTAATGTTTTAATTCAATTAATAGATTAAATGAATTGGTTATCACTTACTTTGATTTCTGATTAACTTGTCGAAATAGAAAATCACGTAGAAAATCATCAACTTCAACTTTAGTGGATTTTTGATGAATAATACAGATAATTTTATCTAATGAACTGACTTTTTGTTCTTCAATTTGTTTAGAAGATACGGTAGAATTTGAAGATATTTGTGGATCAATGATTGGATCAGGTTGTATTTCATCTGTTGGTATTAATTTCATTATTTCCTTATCTATTCGAAGTCTATTCTTAATTCCTTGTTCAGCATATTCTTCTGTTGATCCCGATACACAAATATTTAAATAATCTGTACTAGTTTGATCATGAATCAATCCTAATTCATCAATTAATTTTTCAATGTATTCATCTTTTAAGTCATCATCATCACGATCACGGCCTTCATAAATTTCATCAAACTTGTCTCGAATCGTTTTTAAACATTGTTTATCTAAATTTACTATACCACAAGAATCTTTCTTTATCGATAAATATTTCCATATTGGTGTAGTCATAATTAAAAGAAATCTAAAAAAGAAAAGATCTCGTATATTTCATCATATTGAACAATCTCGACTAAATAAAAAAAACAAAAACGAAAAGGTCTATTTATTTATTTAAAAGAAGTGCAAAAAAACTTTTTAATGGCGATTTTCTTGATATTGTTGTTGGAATCTCGGTAGGAAACTTTTGTTTTCTTGGGTGTTTTCTACTGTTTGATTTTCTTCTTCGACATCAATTTGATTATTTAGTCCTTGTCTGTCTTTATATTCCGACATTTCAGTTCTTTTTAATGCTACAGAATGAGCAATATGTTGAACTTTTGATTCTCGTATACCGACAAATCGTTGATTTTCAGTTAATTTATTGCTAGTCGAACTTTTATCATTACGAGCCGTTGTTAAATCATTAATCGCTTGACTATGTCGATTATTACTTTCATTATGACGTTTTTCAACATCATTGAAATTTTTTTCTAATTTTTCTAATTCTCTTTTTGTAGATCTTGTATCACGTTCAGCATCTTTTAATTGTTGTTCAGCATTTTGTTTTGATTTTTCTTCTTTATCAATTTTTTTTGAAACATCTTTTATTTTTCCATCGAATTCTTTAATTTGATTTCTATTTTTTGTTAAATCAACATCTAAATTTGTTTTATTTTGTTCATAATAAATAATTTCGGATTTTTTTGATGATATTTCATATTGATGTTGATCTAAATTATATTTTAATTGTTGATGATCACGTTGTTTTTCATTTAAATCATGTTGTTTAATATTTAAATCACGATCATATCGTCGCCGATCATTTTCATTTCGTTCAATTTCATTTTCATATCTGTCTATTGTACTTTTTGTTGTTTGTAATTCATGTTCTTTTTTAGATTTTTGTTTATTAATATTATCTTGATTATTTTTTTGTTCACGTAAATCAGATTTTAATTCACCAATAGATTTACTAATCATTGTTAAATTTTGTCGATTATTTTCTATTTTACCATTAATATTATTTTCTTCACTTAATTTTTTTGTAAGTTCTTGTTCTTTTTTATTAAGTTCATTTTGTTTATCTTGAATTTGGTTTTTAATTGTTTCTCGATCTTTCTTATCTTTTTCGATATCATCAAATTGCTTTTTATGTTCAGTTATTTTTTTATTATGTTCTTCTTTTAAATTTGTTAATTGATTAGATGTTGTTGTTTGTTTACTAGTATTAGTTGTTTGTTTGTTTTGTAATTCTTTTAATGTAGTTTTAATAGTATTAATTTTTTTTTGTTGATTAACTATTTCACCTTTTTTCTTATCAATTTCTTTAGTTTTTGTTTCTTTTTCACTTTGAATTTTGGTTACTTGATCAGATAATTGTTTATGTCGTGTTTCAGTATTTGTTACTAATTTTTCTTGATCATTTACTTTTTTTGTTACTTTTTCTACTTCATCTTTTTGAGTTTTTAATTCATCTTGTTTTGTTTTAAGTGTTCCTTTTTCTTCGTTTAATTTATCTTCGGCTTTTTTCTTATTGTCTTGTGCTGTTTTATGATCTTGACGTTTTTGATCTCGAAATTTTTCACTATCTGTTAAGTTTTTTTGAGCATTGCTTAAATTTGTTTTACATATTGTAACAGCTTTTTGTTTAGTAGATAATTCAGCTCTTGATGCTTTGGGATTTGCTGCCAGATATGCTTCATATGCTGCTAATTCCATTTCAGCTTTTCTTAATAAATTTTGTTGATGTTCTACGGCTAATTTATTTTCTTTGACGACAATTTCAGCTGCTTGAAGATCTTTATTTGCATTGACTTCTTTTTGAGTACAACTTTGAAGTTTTCTTTGTGCAGCAGTAACTTGTTCTTCTTGTTTTTTTAATGCTTCAGCTGCTTTCTTTTCTTTGTCTTTAACAGTTTCAAGTTCCGATTGATATTTTTTTAGTGTTTGTTTATGATCTTTCAATTGTTTTAAACAATCATTTCTATCTTTCTTCGCTTTTTCTAAATTAGTATTAATTGTTTTTAATTCGTGTTCTAAGTTTTTTTGTTGATCATCTAAAGTTTTCTTCATTGTTTCCATTCTTTTTAGTTCGTTATCTTGAGTTTTTATTTGTTCAGCAAGTTTTCTACCGTCTTCTTTTAATTGATTTAATTCTTTCTCTTTCATTGTGACGTTGTTTCTAAAACAAAGAATAAATATTAAAATTAAATCCAGATCTATCCATTATTTACACTTTGTCACTATATTTCTTATATATCAAACAGCAAGAATATGTCTGCTTTGAGTACCCAGGAGAAGGAACTTCATCAGCCGGATTTAGTCAGAATCCGATGAAACCTGGCCGGAACCCCGTCAGAAGGCGCAGTGCTATAATCGGAATCTGACGAACTCATGACATGATCCGACAGAAATTATTTATATCCGGTGGAATCCGATCCGTATGATTGCACTTGGGTAGTTCTGCCTATCGTATGGTTACTCATCGATTTACACCAATAAAATGAAAAGATATAAAACTATCTTTCCAATATATTTGCAAAGCTTCGTAATAATTATTTATCTCAATTTCAAATACACGCTTTCCTGCTATTTTTCATCGTCTACCCAGGCAAATCAGTCCGACTCGGATCCGATAGAATCTTATAGGTTTCTACGAATCCTACAAAATCCAGTCGGAATCCAGGCTATGATCCAACAACGAGTTCGTAGCGTTGGAATCCGACGGATATCCGATCAATCTCCACAGTCAGATTCTCATAAGACTCCTATAGCATCCTATTGGATTTCGATCGATTTCTGCAGGATTGGATGGGATCTATTATTGAATTGTGCCTCGTAAGTATTAAGTACCTCAATTAGCCATGGTTTCCTAAATAGCGTATGATGGGATGTGCAAGGACGAAGATATCGTGCTCTATTATTTCTAAGATACTTTTAAAAATTTTCTTAATCATACTATCACTGCAAGACACCTTTGAACTAGTGAAATTTTTAGAAGTTTACTAGACAGCTCCTCTAAAGGTATTGTGCCTGAATGTTTTGTGCAAAGTTTAGGTAAAAATAGTCAATCTAAATCAGACCTGTTGATTCAGAGTACCTATAAGCAAAGTAATGGTGATCTGTAATAAGAAATGTCACGAAATTGAGACCTATTCGGCACTTAGACATCACTTTATACTGTGTCATAAAAAATATTTTTTTGAGGTAATAGAGATTAATTACTTAACTGATTTTAGAAGAAACCTTCCATGAAATCCTTACATATATGGGCGTGGCCAGTCGTGTTGGTACCCCAAGTTATAGGATAG